GAGGGATTGGACAATGAAGAAGATGGCAACATTGTTCTAGAGTTGGAAGAAGACATTGTATAAAAAGTTTATCTTGAAGAATGCTACGCCGGATTTCAATGCTAAGGCGTTTGTCAAGTTGGAGTCCCATTGGGATGCCTTCGTAGAATACAAGACATCTCAAGACAATGAGGAACGTGTGATGAGGAATTGGCAGAATGCCCGACAGAAGCAATACCATCATCGCATGGGATCAAGTGGTTATAGGAGTGCTATTCCCAAGTGGCAGAACCTAGAAGCAGAGATCACTGCCAAGGGAATTATACCTGAAACAATAGAGAAGAACTGGCCTCAACGCGCAAAGAATTGGTTCTACGCTCATGGGGGAAGCCTAGACCCAGACACTGGCAAGCTAATTTTCGGCCAAAAAATTGAGAGAGCAACACAGAGACTAGCTCGTGCTAGGGAAGAAGCTGATAGTGGTGTTTTCAAGCCCAACATAGAGAAGGATGAATTGACATATGCCCTAGAGAATCCCGAACACGGTGGTCGAACAAAAGGCTATGGGGCGGTTCTGTGGCTACATGCATTCCCAAAGAGACAAGGATACCTCTGAAGCGCCTTGAGAGAAAGAAGGATGAGGAGGCGAGCGAATCCGTGCATTGGAGCAATTTGTTGATGAGTCACGACAAGCATTGCTTGAATCATGTGAATGAGAAAAATCTCTTGAGGCAAGAATGCAGGAGGAGATCAAGAGGCAAGTGCAGCTAGCAATGAGTCAAATGCAATCGCAATCAATGTCGGGAGTCACCATTAGCCCCGTTGGTCAGATGAAAAGCAGTTGTGCTTCCACGGAGCTGCCAGTTATTCAAGACGACGCTGGGTTGCGCTTCCCTGTTGATGACATTACCGAGCCTCTAACAACATGTGAGCTGCACATTCTAGATGGTAATAATGCATCAATCATGGTGGCTGTCGGGGTTGTATCTCCAATAGACCGAACGAAGACACCAAGAATCCATGGGTCAGTTATTCAACCTGGATATGCTAGCGTCTCCGTCGATAGAGTGCTCAAAGGTTACAGCAATGTTCCTCTTGACATTGAAGGCGGTGATGGAGAGAAGACACTAGGAGAAGCAGAGAAGACATTTATTCAATGGCATAAACGCTTCATCATCATTCCTAGGGTGCCACCGCTTCCCCTACCTCACCCTAGGTACAAATGAAAGTAAATGAAATATTATTTTCCATTAATTTTCTATTGGCTTCAAAAATAATTGACACACAACTTGTTTTTGTAGCAGAGGTCTCCCCACCTAGCCCAATCATTCATTCCCCATCTCATCACAAAGATCGCTGGGGCGAGACGACTTCATCCCCCACGGCGATCGCCAACTCCTACACCGCCCCATCGCCTCCACAACGATCTCCAACTCCTACACCGCCCCACCGCCACACAATGATCTCCAACGCCCCACGCGGTCTCCACCAACACCGGCCTCATCGCCTCCATGCCGATCTCCAACACCGCCCCACCCCTCCATAGCGACGCACTACAAAGGCGTCTAAGGTCCCGTGACAAAGAAGACCGAGAGAAAGAGTTATTTCTCAAGAAATACTTCTTGAAAAGACTGATGAGCAAATAGTAGTTTGAAGAAGACAAAAAAAGTGAAAGATTTTTATAGATATCAAAAACAAGAGTCAAGCGAAGCTTAAGGAGAAGCCGTACTTTTACATACCACGAGATGTCTTTGAGGCGGAAGGTCGATGCTCACAAGAAAAAGATGATTGAACTTCGTAAGCCTTCGCCACTATCGGACTATGACCGCTCCCTCGTGAAGTGACATGATGCGAGATAAGAAAAGGAAAAGAGCATCGGGGAAGGATGTCCCATGACTCGGACAACGAAGCAACCAATGCAAAATCTTGTTGTTGCTAATGAATATGGTTCCAACATAGAAGTCTATCGACCGGATAACTCGGAGAAGTGTCGGTTCAATCCCTTAATGCTTTTTTGAAGATCTTTGGTTTAACTTTGGATCAATTGTGAGCAAAGCTCCAATCCGGACCACTCGGAAGTTCATACGGAAGACTTATAAATATGGCAAAAGTCCGTACAACCCCTGCTGCTCGAATGAATTGGGTGCATAAATATACTTGCTCAACAAGTGGTACATGCAAAGGCGTGTGGCGGGGGTGAGCAGTGGATCTTTTGTCGATTTAGAGACCATCATTACTTCCGTGGCGATGACATCTTACATATTAGTTTGAATAATTGCATCAACTATACCACATGGACGCTCTGGACAAATCAATCATTAGCTCCTTTTATTTGTAAGTGATTCTTACTTTTATTTAATAAACTCACTTCCATGCGACGTGTATATAATTATCCTCACATGTAACTTATATTTATATCTGATTCCGGATGTCGAGCTCCAAAGAATACAAGACACCGAGTGTTGGCTTCATTGATCCTTATATCGATTCAAAACCGGTATTATTGTCAAGGAGCGGTGGGTATCTCGAAGCATGAGGAGAATATCATGATGTTCTTCGTGAAGCAAAGACGACAAGACAATAATACTTTTCCGTACAACTTTGAGTAAGTGTTAATAATAATGGAGTCTACACATTTTATGTAATATCAATACAACTTATATGCATGTACGTGTGTGTATAAACCAATGTAGGTTTCCTTTGGATACTCATTGTCATTGAGTTAAACTCAAGTCGGTTAGTAATCTTTGACTCGTTGAGAAAAAAGCGGGCACTATACCAAGATATGATAGACATTATCCGAGGGGTAATTTCGATCTCGCGCACAACTATTATTGAATAGACTTTGCCATAATTTTTAACGATCGTACATTATTGGTCATACGTGGTTTGGAAAGAGTTTATTCGGTAACATCGCAAGGATTGCAAGGCACCACTTAATGTAGTTGAAATACTAGTAAGTTGTACTATATACTTTCCCCGTGTTTAATTACTATATCGTACTTCAATTTACGTGTGAGATGATGAGAATAATCTTCTTCTCAAATGCGGTGGTGTTTCTGACAAACAACTGTGTAATAACTTGTGTGGATACTACGTTTGTGAATTTATCACTGCGCACATAAGAAGAACTCTGAAGATGTCCTCGAGTGCGTATATATCAATTTTTATTTATTTTAAATGAATATATATATATATATGTATTAATACTTTTCCTTTTATTTCAAATACAAGACTGAATGGTTGAAACGAAGGGTCATGCAAAAAGACCATCTGAAAGCAGTTCAAGAGTCAATAGCACGATTTCTTCTAGAAAAAGTGCTAAATCCCAACAAGCGAGTTCTACTTTGATCCTAAAGGAATAAATGATGTAAATTAAATGTTTATTGATATCGTTATTTTTTCGAGAACAAGATTATGAAAGTGTTGTATATATACATATATATATCTATAATATATATAGGTTCATACTTTATTCGAATATAATAATGCTCGAGACGAGAATTAGATGTAATTATATGCGTGCGTGTATTTATATTAGCAGCGTAGAATACGTACATAAAAACATATTATATATTAAACAAATACGTGTAACTGAACTGAAAACAAATTAAACAAAAAAAAAAGAAAAAGAAAAGGAACCTTTAGTCCCGGTTGGGGTTACCAACCGGGACTAAAGGGTGTGGCCACGTTTGCTCGGCTGGAGGTCCTTGAGTCCCGGTTGGTAACACCAACCGGGACTAAAGGTCCCTCTTTAGTCCCGGCTCGATGACCCGGGACTAAAGGTGACACCTTTAGTTCCGGGATCGTTGTCCCGGCGCGGTAATCGGGACTAAAGACTGTTACCGCCCGGGACAACAAGTCCATTCTGTAGTAGTGTATGCATATGAATCCATACTAACCCGAGTAACGAGTACTCATGTGGAATCTCAATGTCACAACTTTTACAACTCCGGGGTCGGATATTTGGATTTAGTACAACACATCACAAGAGAGATTGCAGCGAAAAAAACATTACAATCAAGAGGGATTGAAATACATGACTATTACAATACCAAGTTTTGAAATACTGACTTAAACATAAAAGCAACATAAGTCTATAAGGATTACAATACCGTGAGTTCAAGTAAGAGAGCAAGGGAGCCGACAAACCACATAAACAAAAGCAGTAGATAGTAGATAAGTCTAACAATATACAGTGTCGAGCCCACCGACATATCAATTAGATAAGAGTATGGATAAAAATCCAAGGGCATGGTAGCATTGTTACTACTGCTGCTCCTCATGAGTGATCATGTAATACCACAGGCAGAAATTATGCTGCTCCTCATGAGTGATCATGTAGCACAGGCAAAAACTGCTCCTCCTCATGAGTGACCATGCAGTATAGGTACGCTACACCACAACCTAAAAATAGCGTCGGAGGTGGGTCGCTAAAAGTACCAAAATATCAATGGACGGTTGGTCACTAAAAATTTGTAACAGATGGTGGGTCGCTATTTCTTGTTTCTCCAACCGAACATCGGTCACTATTTTTATTTTACTTTATCATGGGAGGATCAGTCGTTAAAGCATGATATTTGAATCAACCATACGTCGTTGTATATATATTGGGCTTGCACGCGGTCAACTGGCCCATTTGGCGCCTAAAAAGCCCTTGCCAACCCCAAATTTTCCCTCTCACGCCGCCACAACCCCGCGCCTCACACCTCCGGCGCGGCGCTCCCTGCTCCTCACGTCTGCCGGTGGCCGCGGGCGCGACTACCCCACCCAGCGCCGCCCGCGTTTCGCTCCTGCCGAGGTCCGGACGCCGCTGCCGCGCGACACGACGGCCGCCGCCCCGTTCCCCGTCCAGCGTCGGCTCTCTGCCCGCACCGGTGCCGTCTCTCCCTCTTCTCCCCTCTCCTCTTCTCTGCATGGATCTAGCAATTTCCGTCCAGGAATTGCCGGTTTCCCCTTCGTTTTCCCTGTGTCCTCAGCGCAAGCGGTGATGGCTCCCATGTCGGCCCTTCAGCACCGCGATGCAGGGATCCAAGGCGGGGTGCTGCACAGCGGCAAAGCAGGGGCCTGACGCGTGGTGCTCAGCGCCGGCTACGAAGGGGTCTGAGGGCGGCCGCGCCGGCCTGTGTGCCGCCGCGCTAGGGTTTGAGGTCGGCCTGCGCGCCGGCGATGGAGGGGTCCGAGGCGGCGTGCACCTGGGTGCTGAGAATCAGCGATGTATCTGCGTATTCTGTGTTCTGTATGCGCTTTCTGCCAACATCGATATGCAGAGGATCAAAGGTAGACTAGCACCAATTGTCGTAGTTTGTTTTCAATTGGACCTATTGAATATTATCCCAGGAGAGACAATTACATCTGCAAATGCTGGCTGTGCACCAGGTGCTCCATAAAACGCACTTGCTATACTGATATCAAGCCTCAGGAGTTTGAAATTGTCCTATTTCGTCTTATTTCCTTCTTTCTTTTTACCTTGCATGCATAAGACGAAAGCTCAACATTGGCTACACTTAGTGGAATAAGTTGTGATGCCAAAAGTAAGTAGAGAGGATTAAAGATTGCAGGAACTAAACAAGGTTAGTGGACCTATCTCTCTTCTTTTTGCTATATTTATTTTTCCTTCTCTGCATCTATTTTGCAAGCAATTAATATGGATGCTTAATATTTGTTTTGGAACTGTCACCATAGCAAACCGTGATTCCCAGTGCCATTTAGCATAAAACAGATGTAGTAAGCTGACCTAAACAAATGCGAATACGGCAACTTCTAACGAGCATGCACACTGTGTAGGTTGTTTTTCTCCCTATCCGACTCAGTTAAATAAACAGCGATGGTTTTTCAGAAACCATATTCTAATCTAAGTTAATAGGCTGACAACGAACATATATTTAAATTGATTTGACCCTCAAAAACCCCCTTCATGATGGTTGATGCCAAGGTTAGCTACCACTTACCGGTTAATGCAACAGACTTGCCCAGGGCTTTACAAAATTATTATTCCTGCAGAAAAAAGTGATGTGTTTTATTTCTCTTGAGTTCAGTTGTACCCCAACGATGAGCACAACAATTGTTTTGTGTCACCACACTAGATATTTCCTCCATACATTTGATTTTACATGATGCACATTGATTGCCTTTGTTATTAATTGTCAGGTCATTATCTACTTACATCAATGACTTCCCACATGGTCATGGCTGTGCTGACAATTGTTGATTCAGTGAGCTCAACTAAAACAAATCTCTTTTTTCCCCTAATATTCTTCCGATTCTATGATTTCTTATCAGACCACTTTTTTGAAAATTTTATCATGCCCACTTCTAATTTCAAACATTTGCCATTCCTCTTGCATAGGGTGATTAGGAAAAAGGATATTTGGCCTTACAATATTTGGCTCCATAACAAAGCGCATGCCCTCCTGCTGGTGCCATTTCTGAATCTGAAAACTATAACAACAATGTGTACATAGTCTATAGTCTGCAAGTAGAGATTCCTCCCTTCTAAAATTGGTTCATTGTGTCTTCATTTCTGCATATTTTACTTCTTCTCACCACTATCTGTTTTCTTATCTACCTTCCTAATTTCTTAAGGCAGTAGCCTAACTTGCTAATTACCTGTTGATTATAGAGAAAAATGTTATATAGTGCCCGGTTACCACTAAATACTCCCTTATTTCAATAATATTTTTTGGTGATCATACAGTTGGCACTATCTCATCTTTAGTTCACAAATTTAAGGTTTCAAAGCACTACATCAGTGACAAGAAGGGCTTTATTATGTCTATTCCATTATTATGCAAAGTTTGCAGCTTTTGCGATGTGATTTGTCATAATCCTGTAGCCTTATGCTCTTACTGAATGCTCATCTCTGCACTCTTTCTGTAGTTTTCTCTTTCACATCTCTGAATTCATAAGTTGATCTTTCTTATGAGCAGAGTGTGCCAGGCTTGATCCGTCAACTTATCAAAGGCTTATGGTTGTCACTGCTCCCGCTTCTTTAAATTGGCAAGTGAAGCAAATTTAAGCAGCTTAACAAGAGTTTACCAATTTTGGTTGTGCTATTTATATCTAACAGCACTATGTTTGCTCAAGTACCTTTGTACGCATACTTTATTTGGGGTTGGGTATGCAAGAGGACATACACACACATTTGTACGGGCTTATATGCTATTACGCAAAAAGGACTACTTATTCCTTCTGCATTTCTAGCTGGCGCAACGTGTTGAAATGGAGAGACAATGTTTGAATCATAATTGACTGATATATACCGCATTGGTCACTGCATCTAAATCTGTTGCATATCGAGAATATAGTCAGTCTCCTACCTGCGCGAAGCGCGGGGTTACCTGCTAGTTCTACTTTATTCTTTCAGCACGTCTGTTTGTAGTATTTGGTTTTCTCATTCAATGCTGTTTAGTGGTTACTGATAATTGACTTGTCATTGACAGGTCACCGGCATGGTCCCTGCTGAGTATCGATTCTGCTGGAGCACTCTTGAATGCCAAACTCAGCTCTCCAAATTCTTCTCAGATCCATTTTAGGACAGCCGCAAACGCTTTTTCAGTTAGCAGTAGTTCTGGTAGTATAGTAGTATATTTTTGAACATAGTAGACTTACCTCTGACACGTTCTTGCATAATGAATACTACATTGTATTAGTAGTTTTAGTAGTAACCAAATACTTAATAGGAAAACATGGCAATAGTAGTGTTAGTAGTATTCAGACATGGCATTAGTAGTATTCAATGTTTACAAGTCTTGGGCTCATTGAAAAAATTCTCATTTTTGCCAGACCATCTTCATGCCTACCTTAAAATAAGTCAGCCAACAACAGGCAAGTGTTACTCCCTTCCTCGATCCATTGCTGTTCAAATTGAATTTATTGATCTACAAGTTGAATTTACAAGTACGGGATGTGTGGATTGAATAGAGGATAGCTTATCAGCTTGTCTTGTTGAATCATTATTTTTGTTGTCTGCTCCGAGCCTATCATCAAAGTCTGAGAAACAATAAACTCAAGTAGTGAAGTCTTGAATGGTGAAAATAAAACACAAACAGCTAAGGGGTAAGCACTGGACGTTTCATTTTTGGAGGCAAACTGAATGTGATTTATATTTGTAAAACTGTGTCTTCTCACTCCCTTATAAGTTGTACATTGGAACTTGTACTTCATTAGACTACTGATTCTACTATTTTTTCAGGAACTTTTGGATGCTGAGCTTGTTGGTTTTCATGGACATGTGATATGCTAAACTTTTGATCATCAGCTAGGATTAGCCTTGCTTTTGATCAGCAGGTACTTCAAACAAGGACTAGTTTGATGTTAAGTGACATTACATGTATAATGTACTTGTTCAATACATGAATCAATGTATGGATAATGTGATCACTTTTGAATGTCATCACTTTTGTGTACGTGAATCAATGTATGTCTAAGGTTTTATCATCAGCTATACCTTCAGACTAGCTTTTATTTTTTTTATCTGTTTACAATTGAGCCCGTTGAATTTGTAAGGAAAATGGACCCTAGGCCCATTTACTTTGGATTTTGGTGTTTGATGACCAACACAACCAAATTGGACTAATGAATTTGTAAGTGGTTGTTTTGTAGTTCAATAGGGTGCAAGACGTGGCTTGGACGAAGGCGACGTGATGATCCGATGATCAACACCATAACCAAGACCCTAGGAGCACAAGAGAAGACCCAAGATATCAAGCAAAGTCCAAGCACGAAGATAGGAACCAAGCCGTACGCAAGATCGCGAAGAAACGAGCTCACTGAGGTGACCGGACGCTGGAGGAAAGCAACCGGACGCTCCGATCAAGAGGCTCGGCAACAGACGTCAGCAGCAGCGACCGGACGCTGGACTGGACGCTGGCGGCAGATCGACCGGACGCAGGACAACAGAGTCCGGTTGAGTACAGAGAGGTTCCAGAGCGGTGAAAATGCAACCGGACGCGGCCAGTGGCAGGTGACCAGACGCTGGCAGCGTCCGATCAGCTGATTGCGGCTCCAACAGTCGGGACGATCGGACGCGTCCGATCAGGACAACTTCAGCGTCCGGTCAGTAGCAGAAAAGCGGGACTTCGTCTCCAACGGCTATTTTCTCAATGGGGCTTATAAATACAACCCCCAACCGGCCATTTGAGTGAAGTGGAGCTGAGGAAACATACCAACGGTGCTTGTACACCATTTTAGTGATCTCCACATGCATAGTGCTTAGTGATTCATTAGGTGATTAGCATAGGTGCTTTGCGAAGTGTTTAGATTGATTAGACCACCGCTTATGCGTTTGCTCTAGGTTTAGGCCTAGTGTTTAGTGAGGTTTGTATACCTTTTACCACTCGGTGCTTGCGCGCACCATCGTTGTATATCGGAGCGGCTTGTAGTCTTGCGAGATCAAACCAACCGCGTTTGTGGTGTGGCCGCCATGGCGTACCGGAGGGAACAAGGCCCGCGGCGTTTCGGCCGAAAGCTTGATAGTGAAGACGGCGGGGAGCATCCGGGAGAGGCTTGCCGGAAGGCACATCGGAGACCCACTTGCGCGTGGGAAAGGCCCGAGGCTATCTATAGAGTTACCCGGCCGGGAGCTTGGCCCTTGCGAGGGATTCCTTGCGAGGGGCTCCAACGAGGACTAGGGGAAAACTTACGCGCTTCTCGATACCTCGGTAAAAATACCGGAGTCGTCGACGGGAGTTTGCATATCTCTACCTTGCTCTTTAGCTTCCGCATTTACATTGATTATTTTACTCCTTTTGCGGTAGAGATAGCAACATACTAGCAAAACCGTAGTTGCACATTTAGATAGTTTATCTTTTGCATAGGTTTTGCTAAGGTTAGAAAAGAGGCTATAGTTTAGAGTTAGAATTTTAAGTTGCCTAATTCACCCCCCCCCCTCTTAGGCGTCACGGTCCCCTTCAATTGGTATTAGAGCCGGTTGGTTCAATTTGGACCTTTGGCTTAACCGTCGTTGAGCCGACGCTATTTAGAGTGGTTGGGATGGATACCTCTAGGCCTCCATACTTTGACGGCACTAATTTCCCCTATTATAAAGCTAGAATGGCTTGCTACCTTGAGGCGGTTGATTTGAGTGTTTGGAGAGTCACTCGTGACGGGATGAAAACCATGTGCAAACATTGTGATGAGCTAACTAATAAAGTTGTTAATCTTGAAGCCGTTAGTACAACCCCCACCAAGGCATCTAGAAAGAAAAGTTCTATCTTTAACATATCTAAAAAGGATGGCTCTGCTTCTTATAATGATTTATGTTTAGACTCACCCTTGTGCAACCAAGTTTGTGTTGAGAAAGTTGTTGTAGATACATGCACACAAAAGGTTGCAAAGGAGAATGAGCAACTCAAGCAAGAAGTAGCTCGCCTCACCAAGGACTTGACTCAAGTAAAAAGCAAGGCGAAGCAAGCCCAACTTCATCAAGATAACACCATCAAGGGAGTGAAGAAGCTTGATGAAGGACAAACCGTGGTTTGCTACGTGTGCCACAAGGAAGACCACAAGTCCTATGAGTGCAAGGTGAAGAATGGAGGAGGAGCAAAGAAGAAAGAGAAAAAGCAAACAAGCAAGATCTCCAACACCTACACCAACAAGGTGGACAAGAAGGTCTCCACACCTTATCTCTTGAAAAAGAAGAAAAATGACAAGGTGGTGGCCATCAAGGTGAACAAGCAAGCCAATAATGGGGTCAAACGCTTTTAGGTGCCAAAGGAAATCATTTCCAACATGAAGAGCACCAAGAAGGTTTGGATCCCGAAAAGGAAGTGAGAAGTCCAATGGACTTCGGGGAATTTAGAGACTTGGCAAAGTATGGGTGCATTTCATGGGGTGCATCATGATGGACAAAATCATTGCCAAGTGGGTTAGTGAATACTATGGACCCAAATTTTCCTTCCCATGTTAGGTAACTAGATTCAATTTTCGTCAAGTAGTATCAATTTGCATTTTCTACAAGTGGTATTTCTTACAAATTGGTATCTTTAAGCATCTTGTTACTTTTCATACCTATGTTTGCATTTGCATGCTTATATCTTTTGACATGCATACACTAGGTATATCTTATGGTAGGCTTGCTCGGTTTCATTCTTAACCCTTGGAGCAAACCTACATGGTTTAAAATTGTTTAGGAGCACGTCGCATAGCTTGTCTTTTGATTGTTCATCTAATATGTGCCAAAGTCCAAATTGTAGATAATTTCTCCCAAATATCATCTTCGAAAATGATTCTCACATTCATGAGATGTCATCCTTCAAGTGGTATTATTGATTCTAAAAATCAATGTGCATGCCTTCTACAAGTATCCCACACTTGTGTGCACAAATTTAGGGAGAGGTTACTCTACAAGTTGGATGCTTTAAGACTAACACCTTTTTCAAGCTTATCATGTGTGTAGTAGTCTCATTGCAAGGAAAATGGAGTCCACAGAGTTAAGTATCATACTTCAAATATCCACCACCTATTGCAAGTGATGGAAATCAAATTGGTTTCCACATGTGGTATTTCTAAATCGATATCATCATGTTGATTTCATTTTGATACTTGTATGCTTTCTCCATGCATTATATAGATTAAATTCCCTTGAGCAACATTTTGTCAATTATGCATATGCTTTGCTTTCTACCATATGTATACATATATTTAGTGGGAGCTTAGTCTATATAATGTGAGAGTCAAATTTTGTGACCTATTCCACTCTACATACAAATGATCACAAAGTTTGACCCTCCCTTGTGCTACTAATGTCTTCCTTTTTGGTGTTTGATTTCAAAGAGGGAAAATTTAGTGGACCAAAAGCAAGCATTAATTTGTAGGGCCATAAGTTAGATCATAATAATTTACAAGTGGTAATGGTCTACAAGTGGTAATGGTCCGAGAAAGGGAGGATAGTGGATTACGGATTAGCCTATGTAATGAAAAGAATTTGTAGGAAGCAAGGCTTAAATCCATAATGCCACATGGGGACATTTGCAAGGGCAAGATAAGTGTTCAAATGGTATCTTCTAGTATTACAAGTAGTATCTTTTAGCACCAAATAATCTTGCCCCTTACATTGCATCCTAGCAAGTAGATAGTTTTTAAATTGCAAAATTTTATTATTTGCTTGCTTTGGTCGTGTTGTCATCAATCACCAAAAAGGGAGAGATTGTAAGGAAAATAGACCCTAGGCCCATTTACTTTGGATTTTGGTGTTTGATGACCAAACAACCAAATTGGACTAATGAATTTGCAAGTGGTTGTTTTGTAGTTCAATAGGGTGCAAGATGTGGCTTAGACGAAGGCGACGTGATGATCCGATGATCAACACCATAAGCAAGACCCTAGGAGCACAAGAGAAGACCCAATATATCAAGCAAAGTCCAAGCACGAAGAAAGGAACCAAGCCGTACGCAAGATCGCGAAGAAAAGAGCTCACAGAAGTGACCGTACGCTGGACCGGACGCTGGAGGAAAGCAACCAGATGCTCCGATCAAGAGGCTCGGCAACAGGCGTCAACAGCAGCGACTGGACGCTAGACCGAACGCTGGTGGCA